AATATTAATGCGTCAGGCACTGAAATCTGGGCAGCCCACTTATGTTGCATGCAACACATATCAATGTCCATTCTTTGAGCACCACAACTAATGATAATGACCTTCCGATGGGCTGAAGCAACAATTCGTTAGTAGTAGTACAGTGCCACACCATTTCAAAACTCCACCAAGCCGTAATAATTATTATGTACATATATGCAAAGTCAGCAAAATGAGTTTCCTGACACCATTCTTTCTTTCTTTGTAATTACAGAAGAAAGAATGGTTTATTCTCCCCTGTCACACTACTCAAGGGAAGACATAGTTTACAGCCACCATTAGACACTATAGCTACTCCATTGAATTAATTACATAATCCATCATAATGAACTTTATCTAATCTGCATATTATTTAAAATTTCATAATGTCAAGAGTACTAAATCATTCATAAGCCATGGGGGTGTTTATTGGAGGAGGAAGGGGAAGGTGATAAGAAAACTTTGTAGCAGATTCCGACTGAAGCTGTTGCTCCTTTTTAGGCTGAGACAAAAGCGACAACACGGCAATTTTTCCTTTCTGCTCAAAGTTTTAACCTCGAAAGAGAAAAGAACCAACCCAACTTCTAATTGGCTTCTGGCCAGGCCTTGCCAAGTAACACAGAAAACAATCTCTGATTAGATGGTTGCCACTCCAAACCGTCTTTGACATTGGTCAACATTCTGCGGCTCCTAATTGGCTATTTTCTGGATGAGAGGATGATCGGATCCCAATGTTCTCACAAAATTTCCAACGGGTTTCCGTGTGTAAATGACTCCTAACCACAGTATATGTGTCTGCACATGTAACGCACACGCGGTGTATACAGAAGCTATTATACAACAGTGCATGCTATCCCTCTGCCAAACACTGAAATGAACACAGGGTACAAGGTATTGCACAATTTGAGATTTTGGAAGGTCACTTGCAAGATGGTTTTATTCAACTGGGAACTTGGCCCAAAAAAAAAAACAAATTAAGAGCTCATGATTTTGGGGACTGCCTTGAGTAGTTGGGAGAACATTGGGGGTGGAAGGGAGTCAAAGCCAGGGCTTTAAGTCCACATCTCTATTTCAATTAAACCACTAGACAGTGCACCATGTTACTTTCATCACCACAGGTTTATCAGCACCAGGAAGTATGATCTCCATGTACATTCACACAACAGCAGGTACTCTGTAAAATACATGTACATGTACATACAGTGTGCATGCATTAAAGTGTCAAGTGAGGGAAAACTGTTGACCTGGAGTATTCTTTTAACATAACTTTGTCACTAATGAGTGGACATCATTAAGAATTCTCAACAAAAATACTACATGTCAGATTCTATTTGTGGTACATTTGGCAAGATGTATATTTCTCCCAAAATCAGGGAAAAAAGTAATGTCACAACATCAGTAAAGATTATTCCCATAAATTGACACTTAGGCCCTTGTTAAAATGTTTGCTAATGCTAAATATGATGTGTTATAATTATGGCATCATCGGATGTTTTATTTTTCCAGCTGAAGCATTGAAGTTTACCAGACAAAAAAAGGCAATACTTGAAAAAGTAATATTTTTGTCATCTCCTTCAAACTGAAAGTCATTTCATTCAAGTTGCTGTGACTTCAAACAAAATCAATGATCATCGTGAAAGGCTGCCAAAGATTGCAGGAATTCCCCTGGTAAGGACATACATGTAAAATAAAAGACACCTCTGCTGACATTGCACAAATACACCCACCTGTTTTTCTCACACAACATAGTCAAGCTTTTGTTAATGTACAAAAAGGCTTCCATGCATGGCCAAGAAATATCTTGACTCTGAAAAGCCCTAGGTCAGGTGAAATTCTAAAATACAATGGGTCATGGATTCTGGAAATCCCCTCATGTGAATTAAATCCAGACAATACATTACGTTAAAGAATGGTGTTACTCAGTACCAATCCCCACCCCCTCCCCAAAAAATAGGGTAAGCTTTAACTTTTATCAAGAAGTACCTGGGACAGTTTTTCTATTGCTAATAGTCTTGTGACCAATAGTTACTCCAAATGCAGGTTTCTTAATTAGCACAATAAAATGCTGTCAATATCTAGTTTTTAAATTACCATTTACATGTACGTTGAGCAAAAGATGGACTTGACACTATCAATCTATCAAGTTGATGGAACCATGCACATGATAACGGATTGTAAGAACTTTTCAGAACTATCACATACTAAATAATTTGATAAAGTCACTCACAAGGTGGGTTTTATTCAACTGGAAACTTAGCAAAAAACAAATTAAGCAGTGCGCGATCCAGGAATATTGGTTTTAAGTTCTGTGCAAATTTGTAATGGCAAGGACCATGAGTAACATGGAAAAAAAATACCTCAGAAAATTACAAGGGAAATAAGTTAAATGCTGTGCTCATCACAAGACAAATACAATGTTATACAATAGCATAATGTTATTTAATAACACAATAATGCTTACGCGGTGTATATAGAAGCTACTATACAACAGTGCATGCTATCCCCTCTGCCAAACACTGAAATGAACACAGGGTACACGGTATTGCCCAATTCACTGCTTATTAATAATTTGATCATGGTCGATAATGATCTCCCATTTGCGAAGGGGTCCATGATTTAGTACACGGGGGGGGTACAAATGCCATATACATGTACATGTACCCCTACACAGCAGCCAACAACTGTACAGTGTACAATGTATATTATGCATCATGGTATGACGTCTCACTTCTAATTATCTAAAATTAAATGCTTAACTCAAAGGCAGATCCAGAGAGTTTGCTTTTACATCCACGTATGTAACCTTTTATGGTCTTTCTGTGGGTCCGATACTACATGTAAATGCTTCTGTAATTACAGAGTTTTCCTCCCTCCCAACAATAAAAAATTTGTAGGGGACAGTGGAATGACCCCCTTTCTCAATACAAAATCATTTGTCAGTCATTACTGAAAATCTGCAGTACACAGTCTCAAGTAAATTGATTATGAAAAGAGCTATCCTTTCAATTAAAGTTACAACTTAACGTTTCTTGACGGTTGTTGTTTATTGCTCTCTAATTTCAACAGATTCATTTCGGATTCCGATTTCATCAACAGGTTCATGTATAAAAGATGTTTCAAGGGGGGAATTCAAACAGAATAAATGTTTCCAAGACGACAAAGAGAAAACCACAACAAACCGGCAAATGCAGTGATTACATTGCATACTGTCAATACTGTTCGAGCCTGAAAGCTCTTGGCTTTCAATTTGACTTCTACACTGGTATTTGAGATGAGGGCTGGGGGTGTTTATTGTATTTTGTAACATCAACACATCTACCTTTATGCATGGGAATTTGTTTCTAGTGTCTGCCTTTTATTCCTTAAATAAATACCATACCAAATACCAATTAAGTACTCGTGTTTTCGGGGACCTCCTTTATCAGTTGGGAAAACATTGGGGGTGGAATGGAACGGAGTAAAAGCCAGGGCTTCAAGTCCACATCTCTATTTCAATTAAACCACTAGATCGTGCGCCATGTTGTTTTCATCACCACAGGTTTATCAGCACCAGGAAGTATGACTGCGATGAAATGTAGCGATGATCTCGAGTGAATGCATGGATGTAACCACTTGTCGCCGGGTAAAACAGCCCCTTGATTAACAAGCTGCGGGCAGTGCTTTATGATTTTGACTTTGACATTCGTATCCAACATACTTGTCACCATTGTTATGTCTATGTTACATAACGGCTTCTTTGTTTGTCCTCAGCCCTTAGGAACGACAAACAATGGGCGGGCTGGGCGACGGCCAACCGGCTGTGTGGATTAGAAGAATGTGTCCATATATGGGCACACTCGGCTGTAAGTGGTTAATAAATACCACCAATATGACGTGCTGTAAGGTTACAAAAATTTCTGGAAATCCCCTGATGAGCAACACATGTACATCCAGACATTACATTATAGATTTGTGCAAACCTGTATCCTGTGGCAACAGCGAAGAAAGATAAGGCAAACAACGTGCCCAAATAAGCTAAACATAAAACACAGAAATTAAAAATCAGCCGGGATGATAAAAAGTGCAAATTCTGGGTAATTCATGAAATTTACATTTAAGGCACTTCCCCAGAAGTGGCTAGCTGATGAAGACAGGTAAATTGAGAACCTACTGAACAAGCCACACATACAAGAATGGGCCCTGACATGGAGTACACAACAAAAATGCGTACAATGCATTCCAAGTATTCATATTAAACTTCAATTTGTAGCCCCCTTATAAAAAATGGCCCAGTCCTGACACGGGACAGCCAATCATATTCCACCATTGTTGACATCACCACCAGGAAGATCTTTCTACACTGTATATAAGCAGATCATGGCAGGAATTTCATCCCACTAAAATGGATATCAAAGACGTAAGTATGCCAGTGGTGGCGTTATTTAACTCTAACAGCTCTCAATCATCTATTACTGATACGAATTTTCACAAACCTTGAAGATTGGGCATAATTAGGCCTGCAAGTAGGAATTCAGAAGAAAGAAAAAATGAAACAATTTGAAACCTGACAAGGCTGTATACAGGGTGTAGTAGCAAGTAGCATCTTTTGATTTAGCTCAAGCCTCTTGTCTATTCCTCCCCATGTATTAAAGCTTCTGCTATAAAAACAACATATATGTTCACTAACGTTTGCTATCTCCTTTGTATTTCAGAAAAACCTTCTACAATGTTCCGCTAACAAAGTAATAACACGTGAACCGGAGAGAGAACCCGGTGAGAATCCCTCGGAGGTGAGGATAACAAACGAGTCTCGATACTTTAAGAGCTACGAGTTTAAACATAAGTATGACCAAACAAGAAATAAGACCACTGAATACCTTTCTATGATTTGTATCAATGCTAATAATCTAAAGTATAATTTTGACAAAATTAATGATTATCTGGAAGAGCTCGGTTATCCATGGGATATAATTGGATGTTCGGAGACGTTTCTTAAAAATGGTGACCCCTCTTTGCACATTTGCCACTATACTTTCGTGGGTAATGAAAGGAAAGACAAAGCAGGTGGTGGGGTGGCATTTTTTGTGCATAACGGCATCACTTTCGAGAGAAGAAAAGATCTTACAGTGCAAGTTAAAGACTGTGAGACACCATGCAATTCACTTTTCATTGAAGTAACTGGCATAGCCAGTAGAAACATCATTTTTGGTGTCATTTACAGCCCATCATTTGTGAGAAAAAATCACATGGGTGAATTTCGAGATTCTGTTGCAAATGTTTTTGCAAAGATAGCTGAGGAAAACAAAGTACTTTTCATCATGGGAGACTTCAATATCAATCTTTTAGACAGACGTTATAAAAAGTTTCTTAATGCTGTATTCAATTATAATTACAAGCCACTCATTAACAGATCAACCCGTGTCTGTATCACTGAAACTAAAGAGTCAAGGACATTAATTGATAATATATATACCAATGCCAAGTATGCAACTGCAGACACAGGGGGGATATTGTTAAGTGCTGTATCCGATCACTTTCCAATATTTCAGTTCATTTCATTGGATAAAGTAAATAATGCAGTAAATTGGAAAGTTAGTATTGAAGACAAACAAGCATTTAAAACTCATCTTAAGAACGAAATTGCATATAAAACAATAAACGGTTTTTCTTTAACTGACACAAAATTAGTATTAAGTCGAGAAACAGAAAAATTTTATAGATGGACAAGTAAAATTAAAAGTGATTATTATATAACGAAATTCCAAAATGATGAAGTAAAGCGTGAAATTATTAATTTTATTAATGTAATGATTAAAGACAAATTTAAATGTAGCAAACCTTGTGCATGTATTTGTACTTCTGAATATAAAATGGCACACATGCCACAAAGTGAATTTACATACCAATATTTCTGTGGGACTCGTAAGGAATTTGTAAAAACACCTTCAGATGGCCTCTTTACAGATACAACGTCTGAAGAGATTGTAGAATTGATTCACCAGATTATTAAAGATAATTCCCATCTCAGCTTACATAGATTTTGTCCGCAACTTATAACAGAAGACTTAAATTTGACTGCATCCCTAAGCAAAGTTTTCAATCAGTCTTTACGTGAAGGTAAAAGTCCTGATTATTCCTCACTGCATTCCTTGAAAGAGGTTGTTGAGCAATGGCAGGTTTGGGAGAAATGCGTATTTCCCCAATTTGATGACATTTTTGAAAAAATTGTTTGCAAGCTAACGAAGAATTTATTAGACAAAAATAAACTGACTTACAACAATCCGCACTTGTTTGAAACTCAAAAAGTGAACAAAATGGCATATCTTGTTAACAATGTACAAAGGGCTCTTAACGACAAACTCTCTCCAATTGGTGTATTCTTTAGTTTAAAAAGATCAGAAATAGACAGTGGAATCCTTTCAACAAAATTAAAGAAAACTGGAATATATGGAGCTCTTTTAAACTGGTTATCAAGCTATTTTAAAAGTAGATATCAAAATACCCCAAGTACATGTAACTCATCCTTGTTAGACCTTCTGTATGCCAATGTCATGACTGACATTTCAAATTATCCCATTATTGTAAACCAAAATGAAATAGTCATAATTTGTACTAATGAAAAAAAAGGTAAAAAATCAGCATGGTATGAAAAACTGAAAGAAACTATGGACAATCTTTACAAAGAATTAGATGAAAATGGCCTATCCGTAGAAAGATGTTGTTACATAAGATTTAGAAATGAGGAAAACAATGGTAAACCTGTACAAGACCAAACAGCACCAAAGGAAAGCAATGAGAAATTCAAACGTGTTGAAAAAACAACATTCTGTGGGATAAGTATTGATTCTGGCGTAAACTTTCACACTGGTGATGAAATGCATGCTTGTGAAGAACAGAAAGTCATCGATGAGTGTAGAAAACGAAATTTACTTCCTCCTGAAGTCCTCACTGCTGCACAACTTTGCTGCATGAATGTGGCAGAGCTATAGACTACAAGCATGGATCACATTCATTCCTTCCTTTAAAAAATAAATGGGGATGAATGTGTTGAATGGTATAGCAAGGAATGTTCACGTACATGTTCACTATTGTTTACTGTTTAAGTTTTGATAGTCAAAAATTTAATTAAAATTAAAATTTATTAATTTAATTTTATAAAAAATAGTACAATGGATTGTGTTGATTTTATGTTACAATTAAGCCATGTGAATTGTATTAATCACATATTAAACTGAATAAAATATAGAAACGAGAAAGGAAATAAGAACAAAAAAGAATAACAAAAAGAGAAACACTATTTTAAAAAAAGAGGGAAAAAAAACAGAAAAAAAGAAAAAGGGCAATTGATGATGATAAAAGGAGTCGGGCACAATGTACATGACCCTCGTGTGCTGTGCATTGCTGACATCTGACTCTTACTTATCTGAAATTGCATGCTATACCCAAGGGCCAATCAAGAAAAAAAAGGGGGTGGGAGGGGAACTAGAATTCTGACAGCTGTGCCCAATTTGAGGGTTCTCTTACTTTGGGGAGGAAGAAATATGAATGTCCCCCAAAGTTTGTCTCTTCATCTTATTTCAAAAGAAGAATGGCCCCGGTTTAACCACTGGAAAAATGGGAATGCACTGATGGTTCTCGTCACTGCTAATCAACCTGTCATCTGCAAATCTAGCAGTAATCCCAAATTCTTGTCAGAAAATCTCTCAAGAATAACAATGAAACCCGAGTCCTCGACTACAGATAGACATTTGCAACATATGCACTTTCAAACACTTGTATTTACAAATAAAATCAAGCATTACGATTTACTTCTCTTCATGTTACTTCTTGAGGGTGGCCTCTCACTAGAGTTGGCCATGTTGGCAAGCTTGGCAAACTAGGTTCCCTGCACTTTCTCCAGAGAAAAGCCGTGATTTGTGCATGTTTAGAATTTTCTGTGGCCTTTTTCCCGGCAATTCACAGCAATTTTGGTCAACTTGTGGTCAGTTCTGTTTTGAGAAATATGACAAAAGTCACATGACATTCATCAAACATTTGCACAAAAGTGTTGAGATGTTTTCATGACCTTGGCAAACTCATGCGAAGGGACAAGAATCATATTTCGAGGTCAGCATCAGTCTGCATCCAGCCTCTGGAGAAGATGGACGTGCAACACCATTAGATGGACCTTGAAGACCAGCCAAGGCTCAAGGCCCGGGTCTTCCCTGACCAGCCCAGGGATCAAGCCTTTTTTAGTTTACAAAAGCTAGCGACATTTTTAAATGGTTTGGCACCTGTAAGCCAACAATTGCGAAGGCTTTGAGACTATTTTGAGAAAATCCAAGACTGAACAGATATGACAAAAGTCACTGGGAAATTTGAATGTGTTTAAAATTCACACTCACTTATTTGCAAACTAGGAGAACAGATATCTGACAAACCCTTTGAGCACTTTGTGAGATCTTGGCAATCATTTTTAAAACTAATTTGGAGAGCGCTGCAACTTTGTAGAATTCACAAAAGTCACAAAGCCTTGTCTGAGGGTAGTTTCAGCCTAAAAAATCTCCAAAATAACAGGTGTAGATCACTCCAGCACATCATACGGAAATAAAGGAAATAGAGGGTTTGCATGGCTGCCATTTTGCAGGCCGCTGCTTTTGTTCCGCAGGAAAGCACAGAGGTTTCCCTGTGGAACAATTTTTGTTTTTACAAAGGGTAATTCCGAACAATTTCCAGGTTACAATAGCAATGTTGTGAAGTCCCCAAGGAACCTGTAACATCATGGCACAGTGCCGTCTTCTGAAGTCTTCCTTCAAGTGGGGTAGTAACTAACTGGACTATCTTGATTATCTATCACTCATACAGAGAAGAACCTCTGTGTAAAGGCGTGGTGGTTATGGCCATCTAAACAAAATAAGTTGACCTAAATTCTTCAAAGTTCTACTGCCGCATGTACAAATGTGAAGTACAGAATAAGAAATCACATGTCCAAAAGTGTAGTTCGGTTACAAATATGAATTGCACAATATCTTGGAGAATGACTGACGGTTGCAAAGTCTGCGGTAAACAAATACAGGTATTAGCATTCCAGGGAACCCTACCGGGCTCAGCCATGCAGCCATGTGTAGGGGAAAATTCCAAGATGCCAAACTGAGCAGCGGAAAGACAAAGGAGTGAAGGCACACATGTTCACACAATAGTACAGCATGAATAACTTAAAATGAATAAATTAGTCTCTCTGCTATATTTCCATGTGCATAGCTGAGCTAAATAAGAGACCCTGGGAATGCAAGGCAATGAGAACAAGTAAAACATGGGGGTGCTGGAATTTCACCAGCCAGGTTTGTGGGTGTACAACAATACCACGTGGCCTACTCCTCTTCGCAAATATCTACATGTACAGTATTTCTTCCATGACTGAAACACTGTCCATCAGTTAAAAATGAATAAACACCTTAAATCTAGTTCAATCATCCACATGGTTTTATTTAAAAATGTGGTTAAGTTAAGGAGTGCACCAGTTTCAGGAATCTGTTGTGTCTGTTGCTATTTACTGCTGTCTGATTTAGGCAGACGCCTTGCAGATCTGCAGGGTTTCTGATGACCACCCAAATGTAGACTACATAATGAAGTATGTGCCAGTGATTCTATGGGCAGTTCTTGTCATCAACAGATCAGAGGCAAACATTTGGCTTGTATCTATGGAGGGGTTTAGATATGTACCGGTAGGAAGGTGCTTTAACTTGAACTGATTAAAACACCACAAGCCCAGACTTTAAAAAACACTCCTTTGTATTAAACTGGGTACCAGTGAAGTTCCTTGAAAATCGGAATAACAAGGAAATTCCTGTAGTGTAAAAAAATACTGATGTCTGTAACTAACACATTCACAATCTCACAAGTACTTCATTTGTCCATATACATGACAATGAGTGAAGAACAACATGCACAGGGAACAAAGTTCAGAGGCACACATTCATTTCCAGCTGCAGTGGTTTCATATGTGGCAACTGCATCCATGGCAACAGCAAACACAGCAGAAAAACATGACATGTATGGGTTCAATATGCATGCATCTGAGCTTTGAAGTTAGGAAGAGTCAGTAATATAACATTACAGAGATTTCAGACTGCTTATTTGAACCATTCATAACAAACACACAGGAGAAAAACTATATATGTATGGGTTCAATGTGCATCCACCTTATCTTTTAAGTTATGAAGACTCAGTAAAAAACATTGCAGAAATTTCAGATTTCAATTCATAACAAACACACAGGAGAAAAACTATATATGTATGGGTTCAATGTGCATCCAGCTGAGCTTTTAAGTTATGAAGACCCAGTAAAAAACATTGAGTTCTGCTGATTTGCACAATTCACGGAAACAATCAAAAATACAACACATTCTGTTTGTTCACTTCACTTTATTTAAGCATTCTGAATTTCTCTGTTTGCTTACATTCTCACATTCTTCACAGGCCTGAATCAACACACAATATTCCCGAATCAAACAGTTGTCTGACATATTTAAAAAAATAGTTAGCAGTCTTCAATCAGTGAGACCAAAGATTTGGTGGAATAATACTATTATCCCTTTAACGGCTGCACCAAAAATGCAAGTAAATTCAATTAAAGAAGTGGACAAATTTGAAAAATGAAATGTAATGAAACTTCTGAACTACGGAGCACACATCAGAACCACAAAATGTGGTACATGCATCAGATCAAAGGGGACCGGAGATTTCACTGAATGGTGTGCCAATGAAATGGAATACAGTAACAGGTAAGTTTTCCCAAAAGAAATTAGGCTGGAATCATGGATGCAAGTGTATATTGCAGCTTTTTTTGAAGGGAATAGTTTACATATTACTTGCTAAAAGATCCTTGTTTGATTTGTACCAAAGATGGGTAGAAAACTCTAATAACCAAAAGTAATGTACTAAGCAAGATTTTGGGGCAATTCTACGAGCTGATGTGAGAATTTGAGAAATGGTATAGGTCAAAACATGAGTCAGTAAGCAACTGTAGAAACACATGTTCTGTAATTTTACTCCGCAGTATTTCGCTGCAGGGACACACACATAATAATAAAACACATAACTCCAAAAAAAAGACAACTCCAGCGTCATTTTTTATGTGTACCATGGTTTTATGTTCTACTAACATCAACATCTGAATTTGCAAGTATAAATAAAAAGGATATATGTATTCACATGTAGCGCCTTCATTTAAATAATGGTAAAATAAACTGCAATTTCATTTTACATACACTACATGTAGTATCAGGTATCACTGACATTAACAGCATAAATTGCAAGTATTAATTATTCATGTTCTGCAATTTTACACTGCAGTATTTCGCTGCAGGGACACACACATTATTTGTAACAAAGCTTTACCCAAGATCGCCTATCCAAAAAAGCTTACAAATCAAGGATAATTACTTTTGCTTATTGCCAAGTTATAAATGCTGAAAAGATTCATTAATGGCACCAATATGGAGAATTCATCCCAAAGAACATGCATGTGTGCTGATGTAGAATCCCAAACAGCCGATTAATGTTACTTAAAATTCAACAAGACTAAAATCAAGGAATTGCACATTTCTGGGACTGAAGTAAATTTGGAAAGCTTATTTCGAGGTGTTACGAGAAACCTAAAAGTAGCTGATCTGCATAAAACAAGCCACCACAGTGCAGTTTTTCTGATTTCTGATTTATGCTGTTAATGTAAGTGATACCTGATACTACATGTAGTTTATGTAAAATGAAATTGCAGTTTCTTTTATTACGATTTTTTAAATAAAACTGAAACATGTGAATACATATATCCTTTTTATTTATACTTGCAAATTCAGATGATGATGTCAGTAGAACATAAAACCATGGCTCACATAAAAAGTGACACTGGAGTTGTCTTCTTTTTTATTATTAGGGCCTATTTAGATAAAAGCTATACATGTGAATACATGTACATACACATTTGTGTATATGTATTCATGTGAACATGTGTTAACGTGAATTCAAGTACAGAGCCTGGAACAACATGAATGTCAAGTGATTAAGAATTGTCTTTCAACTGATGTTTTGGTATCATCCACATATTACTGGCAGTTGTCTTAAACCTGCATACTGCTCGCATATGATCTGTAA